TGTGGGCCGCTGCTTTGCAAAGGTATCCTCATTCTGCCGAGTGCTGTAGTATCTGCAGTGGGGTGGATGTCCAATGGGTAGGTGTTTCGCTTTTAAGGAATTATTCAAGCTCTGCATTTTCAGGTTCTTGAGGTGAGTGAAGGTGTGAGAACTGGGTGGTGTGGAGCCTTGGTTAAGAATGGGTAGCTGTGGGAGAGAAAGGGAGCCTTCCCTAGAAGATACCACTGTTTTCGATGAGCTTTATTATTGACGGATAAACTTACGACGAATAAACTTAAATTTAGGACAGGGTTTCTCTGTGTCGTCTTGGCTGTCCTGGACTAACGTTGTAGACCAGGCTGGCCTCAAACTCAGATCTACCTGCCTCTGCCTCCTGGAGTGCTGGGCTTACAGGCATGCGCCACCACGCCTAACTTCCATGAGTTTTTAAAATTGAAAGTGTATTGCCATGTGCAGCAGGCTCCAGCATAACACTTTGTTGTAGCTATAGACAGGAACCCAGATATTTAAGCCAACTGGAAACTGGTCACTGTGTCATGTGGCCATCTTTTTACTGCATTTCTTGATTCTGCCTGTGCTGGAAGCAGGGAGGGCACCTACCCCAGGCTCTAGCTCTTCTCTCTCTTTCTGCTTGGAGCCTTGGGCTGTTTTCAGAGGCTTCTTGTTGCCTCCTTTGTGACTGGACATGCTGCCTGCTCCCTTTCCCCACACCCTGATCCTTTGTTTTGTTTTTTGAGACACCAATAAAGGTGAGCATAGAAAAAATGCCTTTTGTTTCCTGAGTGTTTTGCCTGCATGTGTGTCTGTGTGCCACATGTTTTTCTTGTACCCAGAGAGGCCAAGAGGGCGTTAGATCCCCTAGAGCTGCAGTTACAAGATGGTCGTGAGCCGCCGTGTTCAGAATTGAACCTGTGTCGTCTAGCAACAAGTGCACTTAACTGCTGAGCTTTTTTTTCCTCCAGCCTCTTTTCTCCTTTTGTTTGTTTTGACTCCCTGAAGCCCTGGCTGTTGTAGACCAGGCTGGCCTCAAACTCGCAGAGACTGCCTCTGGAGTGTTGGGATAAAAGACTCCCATCACTACTGCCCAGCTTCTAGCCTTTTTCTTACTTTGCATAGGATCGCATGTAGTCCAGGCTAGCTTGGAACTCCCTGTGTGTATGCGGCAGCAGTAATTCTGCCTCAGCATTCTAATGCTGGAGTATAGGCATGGTCCACACACTTAGTCATAAGATTATGTGTGGGTAGGGGCTGTGCTATGCACATGGTTGTGTAGTGGAGGCCAGAAGAGCTTTGGGTCCCTTGGAGCAGAGATTACAGGAGGTTATGAGCCCACTCTGTGGCTGCTGGGAACAAAAGTGGTAGTCTTGGCCATCACTCCAGCTCAGCCCTCAGGCTTTCATATGGGAGGTTAACTCACCTTTCTGTTCTAACTGTATTTATGATTTTATTTATTGAACGTAGTGTTTATAGCTACTCATCTTCTGTAATTTTACCAGCTATTCACTTTGCAGCAAAATAGCCATACTTTGACATCAGTGTTAACAGGCTATTTATACAAGGAAGTTGTAGGAAGGGGTGTGTATGTTGAATGGATATGTTATTACATATTAACTGTTTATTGTGGATGATAAATTGAGAAATCATAGCCTGTGGTTTCTGGTTTGCTTGCATTTATGACTTTGAGATGCAATTTCCATGTCATAAAATTTAGTTTTGCTATGTATGCAGTTCTATGGTTTTAGAGACTGTCCCTCATCACCATCTATAACTTTAGAAAATTACAATTTTTATCAGTATTTTAATTCCTTTTGGATTTCTTACTTTGTTTCTAAGTTGTATTTTTCTCTGTCCCTCAGACATGGATGAGATTGTGTGTGGTTTGCCCTTCACGGGACTGACCCTCAATTGTGAAGCAGGTGTTTGCCTCTGGTGAAGAATGGTGTGGAGAGAGTACCTGCCAGTACAGATAAGATGCAAAGCTGACCAAGTTATTGGAACAAGTGAGACCATTCCACAGGCACCACTACTCAGAAGTAAAGAAAGCCACCAGATTATTTGAAGTACCAGAAATCTCCAAATTAAAACCAAGCCATGCCAGACCCACTTACCCCCTCAGATCTAACCTCATTTAGAGTGTGTCTGACCTCACTCTAGGCTTTGCTAGAGGTTTTAAAATTCTTTTAAAGGGTTATTATTTATACAGTACTGTGTGCATGTAGACCTGCACACCAGAAGAGGGCACTAGATCTCACTGTAGATGGTTGTCGGCCACCATGTGGCTGCTGGGAATTGAACTCAGGACCTTTGAAAGAGCAGACAGTGCGTTTAATAACTGAGCCATCTCTCCAGCCCCCCATTTATGTCCAATATTTTGAACATAAATGATTCCTTAGATTTTATGAAAATGTTTAGAGTTAATTTCAGGTCTCTCAGACCTCGGTGCTTGAGTACAAACCACTATTGACCTGGGCTCCTGTGAACAGGTCGCAATGAACACCCCATACATTTGCTGCAGATTCCCAGGTGCCTCTTCAGGGCGGGTAAGAGCTCAGGAAAGGGTTAAGTACCATCCAGTGAGACAGCTTGGTTGCTTCATTTCTCACAGCACTGTTTAGAAGAGGATGGACCCGTTTCTGCTCTCACCAACCCTTGTTCAGGGAAAGGCCACAGGAATGTGGTGGACTGTTACAGGCCCTGTTAAGAGTCTTGACAGGGCTGGTGGGTTACTTTTGTGTCTGTCCTCACTAAGAAAGTTAACTGATTGACAATGACTGTTTAAAATAAACGCCTCGCTGGTGAGCAGTGGCCATAGCATTTCTTCACAGCTTGTCAGTGTGGTAAATGGACCAAGCTGGCTTCTTCGCATATTCAGTCTTGAAGGCTAGCCTCACAGCATAGAGACAGTCTGAGTGCCCTGTAGGTTTGGCGTGGTGCTGGGGGAGGAAGGAGACTGCAGGTAGAGTTTGGAGCCTTGCTGTGTGTACTTCCTTTGTCCTTGCTCAGGAGGAGGCTGGAGTTTCCCAGCGCTATTGATGATTGTAAGAGGAACTGCAGACTTTTGACCTTGATAGCAAGGGTGTTTAGAGAAGAAACAAATATACACATTCAAGAACCACATTGTCTAGGTTGAGTCTGTCACTTGATACTGTTTTGGCTAAAGTGCTGTGACTATTTGCATGGGAGGACATTTTCTTTAAGTTTTCCTGTGAGTTCAGTTTTTTAAGTCTCATCGCAAGTCTCATTTCTTAGCTTTTAAAAAATTATGTAGAGTATTCTCATTTTTGTTTTACTCTAATGATCTGGCTACTGTGTTTTTCTGTAAGTCAGTATTTTCAAACTTACTTCAGTCTCACAATGACGCTCATGCTGCTTCTGAGCCCCTTGGGTTGTACCTCACTGGCCCACTGAACAGCTCTGCACTGACCCTGACATGAAACCTTGTTGCCTCTGTTTATCTATAAAGTAACACAAGGATGGTTGTAAATTCAGCACTGTCTGTACAAAGGGAACTGAATGTTTTCTTGCTTGGTCTGATGCTATGTGATGATTGGTGGTCGGGTACACACATCCTCTGCCTGCTTGGTCCATTGGGGTTTACGTTCCTGTGTTTAGTGTTCCTCCACCCACCCTTTTCTAATGGGCTTGCTTGCCAGACCAGGCTGGCCTTGAACTCATAGCAGTCCTTGTTCCTCAGATTCCCTAGTGCTGGGGTTATAAGTGTTGCACCACACACTGATCTGGTGAACTTGGCCATATGTGGCTCTCTGTGGCCCAAGTGTAAAGGCAGTTTTTGTTTTCCTTAGTGTGAGGAATTTGACTTGAGTGCATGAACATCATTTCTTAGCCTAAGCTTGGATTTCTGTGATTTTCATAGCCCCCTTTCAGCTAAATGTGGCTGTATAGAACTTCCTGTTTATCAAAGAGAGCACCCTCTGTGGAGCCACAGTGCAGAGGTCGATGCGTGTGGCCATCTAAGTATTCATAGTGAATGCCCACACTCGCCCAGCGGGGAATTGCGTTAATGCAGAAGTACAAAATAACAAGATTTGTCTTTGTCTTTGTTCTTTTGAGACAGGGTTTCTCTGTAAAAGCCCAGGCTATTCTGGAACTCTTGTAGACCAGGCTTGCCTCAAACTCACAGAAATTGGCATGTGACACCGTGACAGGCTCAATACCAAGATGGTTATAATAACTAAAGATATAGGCACTTTCTTAATGGCATGCGGATGTGTGAAAAGACACAGTAAAGAAACTGCCAACATGACCACTCATGGTATGGTTAGAAGCATCTGGAAGAGTCCAGATCAGAGAGAGAAAGAAGTAGACTGAACATGGCCAGGGAGACTAACCATTGTTGGAGACTAAGGAGAGCATGGAACAGTGAGAGTGGCTGGGTTATGAGAAGGGTGAGGGCTGGGGGGGAGCAGGACTTGAGCCGGAGGGAGCTTAGGGTAAAGGATAAAAGGGCCTAGTATGGGGGCTGGAGAGATGGCTCAGAGGTTAAGAACACTTTCTGTTCTTCCAAAGGTCCTGAGTTCAATTCCCAGTCAACCACATGGTGGCTCAGAACCATCTATAGTAAGATCTGGTGTTCAGGCAGAATGTTGTATAAATAATAAATCTTTAAAAAAATAAAATAAAAGGGCCTAGTATGGAGTTTGAAAGGTTGAGCAGGAGTGGGTGACAATGGGGCCCTGGAGCCCAGCATGGGCTGTACTAGGTTGATAGGTGCAGGGTACCATATGTCTCTTGAGGATGTGATACAGTTAGCTGATAATGCTGTCCCGCATTTGCAGAAGAAGCCAGTGGGGCTGTGGATGTCTCTTAGTGGGCCATGCTTTTCTGTGTTCTGTATGGCCCTGTACTGCATGGAGTTATGGTGGAGCTCTTCTCTAGCTTGTTGGATGTGGTTATAAAATTCTCTGTGCTGGGTAGGGTGGAGCAAAAGAGAGTCCTTGTGTGGTTTCTTATTCTTACCCTCCGTCCCCTTCTCTTTACAGCTATTGCCCAGAGGAGAAGATGTTTGGTTTTCACAAACCGAAGATGTACCGGAGCATAGAGGGCTGCTGTATCTGCAGGGCCAAGTCCTCCAGCTCCCGGTTCACAGACAGCAAGCGCTACGAAAAGGACTTCCAGAGCTGCTTTGGGTAAGATGAGTTATGTTCCATTCTCAAGGGAAAAAATAGTCAAAGATCTGGGGAATACTTCCGATGCAAGGCAACGGGAGCAGTGTGCTAATTATGTATGTATAGATATTTTTATTATGAATTTAACATATAATAAAAATTTTATATATATATACACACACACACACACATACACACACACACACACACACACACACACACACACACACACTCACTATATTTTCTTTGTTTTTTTGAAACAGGGTTTCTCTGTGTAGCTTTAACTGCCCTGGAGCTCACTCTGTAGACTTGGCTGGCCTTGAACTGACCAATCCACCTGACTCTGCTGCCTCCTAAGTGCTGGGATTAAAGGCGTGTGCCACCACTGCCCAGCTGAGTAATAATTAAAATCACTAGTTTTCTAGTTGTGAAGCCCATTATGGTTTCACTTGGGCAAACCTTTTTTGTTCTTACTTAAGTAGGATGTTTAAGTGAATTTTAAAAATGTATCCTTATTTTCTGACCAGTAGTGTTCCTCTGTTGTTTCTGCATTGTCTCTGTAAACACGGAGTTACATTTTAACTAGCTGAGGAGGACTATAGCAATATACCTAATATTCTGCCCTGAAAGTAGCAGGTATGCTAACTTTCCAACAGCTAGATACCTGGATAAAATAAAATACTTGAATGTTGAGCCATTTCCCATGGTAGAGGATAGTATACCTGAGAGGGAATGTGCACCCATGCATTGGCATAAAAGAGACATTGATTTTGGTTGATTGCATATGCACTTTTTTCTTTTGGTTTTGATTTGATTTTGTTTGCTTGCTTTTCAGTATAGCCCTGGCTGCCTGGAACTTGCTCTGTAGACCAGGCTGGTCTCCAACTCAGATCTGCTACCTCTGCCTCCTGAGTGCTGGGATTAAGGGCGTGCACCACCACACTTGTTCCCTTAGGAGCTAATGTTTTGATTGAAAATTTCATATCTATGTACTCTTGATCAAATCTGTCCTTATGAACCCAGTGAGGGGCCCGGGAATTCTGGTGTATGCCTTTAATCACAGTGTTCTGGTGGAAGAGACAGGCAGATTCTGTGGGGCCACACCAGTCCACAGATGGGAGTTCCAGGACAGCCGAAGGCGTGGAGTGAGGAGATAAATGAAATGCATAGGTTTTAAAATTCTGGTAAACAATGGAATAGATCATGTTCAGATAGTCAAACTGCATTTATGAGCCATAAATGGGTGTGTTTTTCTCCAAGAGAAGTGTCTACACGAGTCCTCGGGAGAGAAAAGCATGATAACATTTTGTTTTCCTGTCAGGTTGCATGAGACTCGCTCAGGAGACATCTGCAATGCCTGTGTGCTGCTTGTGAAAAGATGGAAGAAGTTGCCAGCAGGATCAAAAAAAAACTGGAACCATGTTAGTTCTTTTTCTATATTAAAATAACAGTAACCTCACCACCCCAACCTAGGAAATTCTGTATCATTAGCATAGAAAAGGCTAAAAGAATAAAGAAGAATACTTGTATAGCATTTCCTGGACTAGTAATTCCCAGAGTTAGACAAGGGTCCTTTTTCACACCTTTAAGAATGGTCTGTGCTTTGAACTCTTGGGCATATGGATTTAATGTTTTTGTGTGTTGTGTTTACTGCTTACTAGTTGTAGGCTTCTGGAGGGTTACAGAGCTTTTCACTGTCCTTAGAGCTACTTTGGGGTCTGAATAAGATGCCGCATCTAAAACAAAAAGCTGGATGTATTCGGTCTGTGTTTACGCTGAGATTAGGTCAGCAGTGTGGATGTGAATTTACCTTTGTCACTAGAATTTTCATAATATATATTTTTAGATCTACTTGTATTTTTAAGAATTATGTTTTTCTGTGTTCCACCTGTATGAGTTACCGGAAGGGAATGTTGGAGCTCTTGTGAACTGCCTGGCATGGTTGCTGGGTATGGCGCTGGAGCCTGCTGGAAAAGCAGTCCCCTCATAATACACCTTAGATGATCTGAGCAACACTTTTGGTTTTTATTTTTCCAAGATGTTTTTACTTCTACTGTCTTGACTGTCTGCATGTCTGTGTGCACCACATGTCCGTGGTACCTGCAGGGGCCAAAAGAGAGCGTCGAGTGCCCTGGTGCTCTAGTTAGGTGAATGCTGTGAACCAGCCACTTCTGTAAGAGCAGCAAGTACTTTTCATCCCTTTGCCATGTCTGTATCCCACAGTCCCTTTTGTTTTTTGGTGCTAGCAGTCGGAACATGTTAGACTAAAGGACTAAAGCTGTGGGGCTCAGTGTCCCCTAGTCTAGAGTTTTGTTACTCTTTTATGATAGCTGGCTTTTCATGTGGTTGTTTTGTTTCTTGCTTTGTTAAGACAAAGTCTGTAGCCCTCACTAGACTCAAGCTCCCAGTGTGGCAGGGGACATCTTTGACCTTGTGATTCCCCTATCCCTTAGGTACCAGGATGACAGGTATGAGCCACCATCTCTGGCCAGCATTTATGAAATTTACATTACATATAATTGCCTAAATGGACTGGTGCTGTCCTTTGATAGTGTTTTATTATCATAGTAGGTTTCTTATGGACCCATTGGTATGTAAACTTTTCCTTAGTGGCTCCTTTGAGAAAATCTCAACTGTGATATTTGAAGGTGAGGACAACCTTTTTACATTACCATGCCAAACAAGGGAGAGAACAATGCTCCTCTGCTGATAAAACTTAGGGATTAGCATCCAGAATGGTCTTAGCAGAGTTTATTCCTTTGTCATGAAACAGATAACTGTGCCCATGAATGCTCAGATATAGTATAAGACTGGTTCTTTGGTGAGCATGGGCCTAAATGGTATTAAATATTCAGTATTTTCTTCCAGGTGGTAGATGCAAGAGCAGGACCCAGTCTAAAGACAACACTGAAACCAAAGAAAGTGAAAACTCTGTCTGGAAACCGGATGAAAAGCAACCAGATCAGTAAACTGCAGAAGGAGTTTAAACGTCACAGTGAGTTTGCTGTGGAACACACTGAGAGTGATGTTTTAGTGGGTTTTTTGTTTGCTTTTTGGACTGTGCTGTTTTACGTATGTGTGAATCCATTTTTTTTTTCCCTTATTGTCTACTAAGTACTGAGATAGTCCGCTTCCTGTTTTGGAGTCTCAGCCCTTGGAAAGCACTATTGACTTGGTGCCTGTTCTTACAAATAGGACTCTGATTTTGGCATCTTAAAGTAACTAAAGGGGCTTGTTGCAGAAAGATTTGGAGTCAGGCCTCAGCACCCACATAAAAGCTGGGTGGAGGCTTGCAAGGTGCTGCCTAGGCCTGGCAGTCAAGAGCTCTGACCCCCAGGACCACATGAAGAAGGCCAGAGCCATTCCCAGAAGTTGTCTTCCACGTGTGCACTCCACAGTGCACACACACAGGTACAACAGAGAGCTGGGCAGACGTGTTTGCCTGTACTCAAGTACTCAAGGGCCAGAGATCAGGGACCCCTGGGACAAGGTGGCTAGCAGGGTTCAGGAAAGTCTGAACAAGTCCATGGATAAAACAGCATATTCCCTCCTTCCCCCGTCTGTTTCTGTCTCACATAGTACTTAAAGTAGGAAGCTGCTTTTTCAGCTGTGCTGAGACTGTCTTTAGGTTTTATACACTAGGATTTCTAGAAGGGAACTTCAGAAATCACAGCTCACTTGGAGAAGAGTAGCTTCTGGCCTTTACGGGGCTAAGACGTGTTGTGAGGGTAGTATGTGAGTGCTGGGTTCATGCTAGGTTTGTGAACTGTCGGAGGAGGTGTGGTTATCTCTGTTCAGTTGAGACTTTGAAAAGGCAAGCGGCTCTTGTCAGTCTGTGAGCCTGCTTCACCCTGAGGTACAACTGCTGGCTTAAACACATGAGTATTTCATAGTAAGAATGTCCTTATTTACAGATGTCCTCACTCACTTTATCCATTTAGTGAGTGAGTTGTACTATAATAAAACAAAAATTGCTGAGTCTTAGGTTCTGAGTCAAAGAAGCCCACGGCTCTGCTTGTTGCCCTCCTGCAGTCATGCAGGTACACGCTGACATTTAAAATGGTTCAGAACCACCAAGCACTTAAAACAGTGAGCCTCCCTCACGTAGGAGCTTTCTGTTGGTGTTCTTGGCAGGTTTAAATAGCCTCTTGGATTTATTCCTTTAATATGTGATAATCTTGATTTTTGTTTTTAGGAGTTAGAAGTTGAATACCATTTATTAAGGTGACTTAGCATACTAGTATCACAAGTGATACTTCATTTTAGGTGTTTAATTTTGTTATTTGTGTAAGCATATATTAAGAAAAACTTATGAGATCTTTGGTTTTGTGAGCTTTTATTTTCTTTTTAATACTAGAGCTCAAACCCAAGGTTTTGTGTATGCCAGGGAAACACATCACTATGAACTGTCCTTGTCCTTGTGAGGCTAGGGAGATGGCTCAGCATGTAGCTGTGCTTGCAGAGGACCAAGGTGCCCAGCAAGCACCCTGACCTGGTGCCTTACAACTAACCCTCTTAACTCCAACTCCAGAGCATCAGGCAGTTTCTGGTCTTCAAGGGTGTATGTACACTCACAAATTTTAAAATAAAGCTCTGGTGTTTAATATCTAGTAATTGTTTCCTTGGGTTAGAGGACTATTCTATCCATGTCCTATCGATGGGACATTTAAGTGGTATTTGCACAGTGTGTGTCCAAGGACTAGAAGGTTTATATATTTCTGGCTTTTATTTCATTTTTATTTCTGGTTTTTTGACATCAGATCTGTAATTAGTTCTGTCTGCACCTGTTATTTTGGGTTGTTTTTTGTTTGTTTGTTTGTTTGCTTGCTTGCTTGCTTTCGCTTTTAAGTGCGTGATGGAAAAATATACTGGCCCAGCTCTAGGCTTGGGAATTGGGCGGGGCAGCACTTGCGTGTGATGAGAATGTCTTCTGCTTTGACAGACTCGGATGCTCACAGTACCACCTCAAGTGCCTCTCCAGCCCAGTCTCCGTGCTACAGCAACCAGTCAGACGACGGCTCAGACACAGAAATGGCGTCCAGCTCTAATAGAACCCCGGTGTTTTCCTTTTTAGATCTTACCTACTGGAAAAGGTAAAAGTGAAAGAAGTCTGTTCACAGTCCCACAGTCTGTCAGTCACTGCCTCAGTGCCTTCTCTATAGCAGTTGAGAATAAAATAGGTGCCAGGAGTGGGAAGTCAGCTTAGCAGAAATTGAGCAGACCTTGGATTATGTATTTTTTTTTCTGTTAAAATTAATGTAAAAATGCATGAAGGTACTTAAAATGTATGTTGATGGAATAGACTAGCTATTCTGAAAGTTCTCACTGGAGTAAGGAGAAGTGGTTAAAAGTCTCTTGATGTCACTAGTAGGTACATGGTTTCCTTTTTGCTTGCTGTGATGAAATACTTGGAAGGTTTTGTTTTAGTTCTCAAGTTCAGGTTACAGTCTCCATCTCAGTGGGGAAGTCACAGCAGTAGAAGCTTGAGAACCAGCTATATCACATCACTGTCAAGAGCAAAGAACCCAGTGTACTTGTGCTCAGCTCATTCTCTATCCTTCCAGTCCAGGCTCAGTGCCACCGCAGCGGACAGGTCCCTTCTCAGTTCTAGATTGTGTCAAGTTGGTGATAGGGAACACTCAGGCCAGATACAAAGGGTGTATGTGGCCAAGGACCAAAAAGAGGCAGTTTTAAAAGAGAAAATATTTTCAAAGAAAGTGTAGACTCCCAAGGACACAGAAAACAGATAAAATGTTTTCTTCAGATGTGCTGAGAACTGTGAAGAACAATGTAGGACTGTCCAGAGAAAATACACTGCTTTCACAGGGACAGCCAAGACACAAAGATGAATCCTTAGAAGCGTGCATGACACAAGCCAGAAGACAGCATATATGTGTTTAGTTGGCCAAGAAAAACATGCTAGCCGTGGTGACCTTTAATCCCAGGATTTGGGATGCAGAGGCTAGCCTGGTCTATATAGTGAGTTCTAGCATAGCCAGGGCTTCACAGAGAAACCCTGTGTAGGGTTCTCAAATTGAAAAGCAAACAAAAGGAAAAAAAAATGAAGAGAGATACTAGAGAGTAATGTGCTCAATCTAAAACTTTATTTTGAAAAAAAAAAAAATACTTTATGAGCCAAGCGTGGTGATTACTATAATTCATTGAGGAAGGAGGATCGTGCGCTTAAGGCAACCCTGAGTTACATACATAGTAAGACCCTGCTTTAAAATCAAACAAATTAAATTGCCTGGAAAATAAATTAGTCTACAAGATAACCCCCAAAGACAAAGAAATCTCGGATTAAGACTGAGGAGTGGCAACGGGTGTGGTGGTGCAGGCCTTTAATCCCAGCACTCAGGGAGGCAGAGGCAGGAGGCCAGCCTGGTCTACAAAGCGTGTCCAGGAAAAACCCTGTCTCCAAAAAAAGAAAAAAAAAAAAAAAAAGATTGAAGGATGGATGAAGTAGTAAATATTGAGGTAGACTTTAAACACCTAAGTGAGCTGGCCGTGGTGGTGTACACCTTTAGTCCTGCCACTTGGGAGGCAGGGGCAGACAGATCTCTAAGTTCCCGCCTCGCCTGTTGTTTAGAGTGAGTTCAGGACATCCAGGGCTACTCAGAAAAGCTGTTACCCTGAGAGCACATTTTTAGTAAGAGCAGGTAGTGCTCTTGGAGAGGACCTGAGCTCAGCTTTCTGGCCTTGCAGCTGCCTATAGCAACACTCTGGGTAATTTATCTCTTGGCCTCATAGAGCACCTTTACACACACAGAGACACACACACATACATGAAAAATAATCAGATGGAGGGAGAAGGCTAATTACGGATTTATTAAAGATGGTAGCAGATTTAAAGTGTGTCCCTGCCTTGCTGACTAAAGAGAACATAATGAGTAGCTAGAATTTGAAAAAGTAACTTACACTGAGTTGAATTGGCTTAAGTTAACCCATATAAAAGATGACAAGATTGGGAAAGTGGAACAGAAAAGGTGAAGTAATAGGAAAGGGTAGGGCTGGCCATATAGGTTCTCTAATATGTTTAAGGACCTATGTTAAATCCATAGCTAGCTATGCCCAGAGCAGAAAGAAAAAGTAGATCATAGTGATAATAGTTTCTGTTACAACAAACACTCAGAGCACACTAATCAAAGACCTCTTACTCCAGCCAGGGAGTATATTCTATACAGGATAAAGTTTAAAAATTAAAGAGGCAGGAAATTTATATCCATCAAAGTACTATAAACAAACCCATATAAATGGAAATGAAAGTATAATATAAATTGGAACATAACTGTGAGCTTAAGGTTAATCCTTGATCTTAGCAGTGGAAAGGCAGAGATAGGATTTCAGGCTTTTTTTTTTAGCTAATGGTGAGCTCCAGGTAAGATGCTGCCTCAGAAAATAAGGTGAGGAGCAATTGAGGAAGACAACTGAGCCTGAGCTCTAGTTTCCACACATAGAGTACCACATGTGGAAGATGATTGCTGCTTTTAGGAAGGAGAGGTAGATTAAGCAGAATTACTTTATAAATACTCTGCTGAGTATCCAAGATTTATAAAGTATGGAAAGCATAAAAATAAAGGGGATCAAAAGGAGATAGAGTAGAAGGAATCTTCGAAGAGCGGGATTTGTTAAAAGATCTAATCAAGAACTGTCTGAAGAGAACAGAAGTGGCAGGACTAGAGTACCCTCGGGGATGAAGGTGGCTCTCTGCTGAGCTTGAGAGCGGGAGGTGGATCCCACATGGCAGGAGGGAAGCAGCCTCAGGAAGGACAGCTTGTAATGGATCTTGTTCTCCACCTTTTCTTCTAGACAGAAGGTCTGTTGTGGGATCATCTACAAGGGCCGCTTTGGCGAAGTCCTCATTGACACGCACCTCTTCAAGCCTTGCTGCAGCAGTAAGAAAGCTGCTGCGGAGAAGCCCGAGGAGCAGAGCCCGGCGCCTCTGCCCATCTCCCCTCAGGAGTGGTGACAGAGGTTCATGCACAGGGGAACAAAGAGCAATTTAAACTTTGAAAAGACCACAAAACAAACTGACCCTCCTATTTTTAACTTGGATAACTGCTATTCTGCCAAAAGACGTTTTCTAGAGTAGTTTTTAATGGGTTACCTCCTTAACCCCCGCCCAGCAAACTGAAGCCAGTCTGTAGCTCACTGCAAGAAAAGAGAACTGTACATAATATTTAAGATGCTGAGTATTTCATAGGAAAGCTGAATGCTGCTGTAAAGTGCTCTTTAAGTCTTTTTTTAATGCCCTCTAATGAATGAAATTAGGGGAATTTCAGGGGACAGAGATGGGATTTGTTGTGTGATAACCCATATGTAGTTTAGTCTTTTCTGTGGAGAGGCAGTGGTTGGGGCATTTTTTTAATGGCTGGCTACATTTGTTTTCCCTCATGATGCTTTGTCATAACTCAGTAGCATGATCTGCCCCTAGTGGTAGTTAAAAATGTAAATGCTAAGGTGTTGCCAAGGTTCTGATGATTCAGACCCGTACTACTGATTATTAAGCAGGACAGATTGAGCTTTCTGCAAATAGCTTGTAGGAGGAAGCAAGTTCTGAACCCACAGGTAGCAATATTGCCTCCCTTATCTCAGTATCTGATAAAAGACTATGTGAATCTTGCGAATCAGAAGCGAGCTCCTGGGGAGGCAATGGGTAGGATGGGCACGCTCACACAGGGATCGTACCAAAGCATCACCACATGGTAGAGAGCACACGTGGCTGGAAACTGCGTAAACAGAATGTGCGAGTCCTGGGGGTGCATGGGCGCAGTCGGTGCTGCTTCAGGCATTTCCTAGAGGGCTTGCAGCATGCAGATAATTGGCTGGTGTTACACGACTGGGATTCACCGAGATCCACTTGATTCAGCTCTAGCTCTGGATTACCTCAGTTGACCTTTGTGGAGGTTTTATCTATAGTTCTTTGCCTTGTCATAACCTTATTAGGGTTTGGGGGTTTTGTTGTTTTCTTGTTTTTCTCTCACTATTTAAAGTGGACTAGTAGAAAAGAATTGTGTGTGGAGGTTACGCCGGTTGGTTGGGCTGGCTTGGAGTTGGGCTTCTGAGCATCAAGAGAGCTGAACGGAGCTCCTCGCCTCTAGATCTGAGTGAGGGCTTCTCGGGAGAACCCAACTCAAGTTGTCTGATCGCCTCTTCTCAAAGTTCAGGAGAAACAATAGAGCCGCTTCAGACCTCACAGGCGTAGGTGGATGTGGCTGCCTTATAATTCTGTCGCTTATGATTATTTTAAAAACTGGATTTTACAGTCTGTTAAGTGTTTCACAGTGAGGAGAGCCACAGTTTGTTTCTTCCTTTTGGGAAAACCTACATAGTGCAAGCCACCACATGCCCAGTGCGTGGCTTGGTTCTCCACAGCCCTTGGTGTGGTAGAGTCCAGCCATTACATTACCATTCTCCTGCTTTACTTTGACATGGGTTTTTTTCTTTTTTTTTTTTTTTTTTTTGTACATTTTGGCTGCAGTATTGGTGGTAGAATATACTTTGATGGATCATCTCTACTTCTGTATTTATTTATTTATTACTGGACCTCGACCACAGCCTTCTCCCCTCCACTCTGCCCGTAGGAAGTACTGTGTGTAGTCATGCACTTTGTATTAATATATTAGACATCTACAGATCGGTTTTGTACTTTTTATACTGTTGGATACTTATAATCAAAACTTTTACTCTAGGGTATTGAATAAATTTAGTCTTACTAGAAAATAAAAGGAGTTCTTTTGTGACTTTGTTTGAAGTGTTGAGGGCCTGGAGAGATGGCTCAGTGGTGAAGAGCGCTGGCTGCTTTTGGGGAGGACCAGGCTGGGTTCCCAGCTTCCACATGGCAGATAAGTAGGTAAGGGTGTGTGCCGCCAAGCCTGACAGTGTGAAGTTTGGTCTTCAGCACAAACGAGGTAGGAAAAAACTGACTCCACAGTTTTCCTCTGACCTCCACACACGTGCTGAAAAGCACTGTAAATTGTTTCCCTCTGTCCTTAGTATGCCTTTATATATGGAATATGTTTCAGGTAGTACATTCTTTTTTTTTTTTTTTTTTTTTTTTTTGTATTTTTTCTTTTTTTCATCTTTTTAAAAATTTTTTTATATTAATTATAATTTATTCATTTTGTATCCCAGCTGTAGCCACCTCCCTCATTCCCTCCCAATCTCACCCTCCCTCCCTCATCATCTCCCATGATCCCAATGGATAGGGGAGGTCCTCTTCCCCTTCCACCTGTCCCTAGCCTATCAGGTCTCATCAGGACTGGCTGTTTTGCCTTCCTCTGTGGCCTGGTAAGGCTGCTCCCATCTTGGGGAGGTAATCAAAGAGCCAGCCACTGAGTTTAAAGTAGTATATTCTAAGAAATAGTACATTTCCGTTTCCTTGAGCTGGATAGCGTGTATAGACTGTTGGGCATGGTGGTGCATGCCTGTAATCCCAGCACTCAGGCAGGTCTACAAAGGGAGTCTAGGACAGCTAAAGCTACACAGAGAAAGCCCATCTTGAAAAACAAAAACTCTTACCAGATAAGTCTAGGTTTATAAAATTGACAAACCTAGGACAAATTGAGTCAACATACCTGAATCCTATTTTTTAAGATACAGTTCTGAATTTAGGTTGAGCCTCTTAATCTATGCTACCAGTGTATGGCAAGCGGGGAGGCAGATCTGTTTGTTAATGAAACACCTGCTATGAGCCAAGTGATCTTAAGCATTGCTTAAACATCCTGCTAAGTTCAGTCTTAGTTATTTTTCTGCTGGGAAGAGGCATGTCCAGCGAAGCATTTAATTGGGGCCTTGCTTACAGAGGGTGAGACCGTGACCAGCGCGGCGGCAGGTGGGCTGGAGCAGTAGCAGAGCTCACAGTCATGAGGTGAAAGTAGCAGAGTTGACAGCCATGGGGTGGGGACACCAAGAGGTGGAGAAAGGCTGTGTGAGTGTGACCTGACTAAAACCTGCTTTTCTGACTCGTGAAGTTGGGTGAGACAGGGTTTCTTAATAGCCCCGCTGTGCTAGTCCTGGAACTCACTCAACACCAGGCTGGCCTCAAACTCAGAGACCCACCTGCCCCTGCCTCCTGAGTGCCACGCTGCCAGGCTGTGCTTGCTTGCTTGCTTTTTTATGGTTTAGTCTTTTTAACTTGTGTACATTGGTGTTTCGACTATATGTATGTAAGGGTGTCACATCCCCCGGAACAGGAGTTAGACTGTTGTGAGCTGCCAGGTGGGTGCTGGGAATTGAACCGTGGTCCTCTGGAAGAGCAGCCAGTTGACTGCGCTTAACCACTGAGCCACCTCACCAGCCCCGATTTGTTTGTTCTTTGTGTGCATTGCTGTTTCTTCCTCGGGAGAAGGAAAGCAGCCGGTGCTCTTAACTGTCCAGCCGCCCTTTGCTTTCTAAGCTATCTTGATGGTCTGCTGCCTCCTTGATCCGCCAGAAGAGTTGTTTTCTGCTTCCTGCAAAAGGCTGATCTGGAAGCTGAATCTGCCTGTATGTGTATGTTTGATGTGCCGAAATGGTCTGAACCAGATCTCTTATCCCGGGGCATAGGAAGCCCCCAGGACCCTCCTTCGCCTCCCAGAACTGGGATTGCAGCTGTGGAGGCTGGGCTCTGAACGCCGCTCCTCACCTGTGTGACACTACCAGCTGAGACAGAATCCCAGTTTTGTTTTTTAATGCTGATCTTCAAAATGTATTATAAATTTTCATGATGGTACAGACCTGCATTCCCAGGTTTTGGGAGGTGGAGGCAGGAGTATCATAATTCAGGACCACCTGAAGTTTATGAAATCCTGTGTCTGCAAGCAAAGAAACAAAAAATGAGTCTGCAGTTGGACAGCCTCAAAAACTGGAAGCAGTGCAATGGAGAGCTAAGGTTCTCCAGGAGCCTGGGGTGTTAGCGGGTACAGCAAAAAGTGCCTGGCAGTAGGTTTGTTTGTTTGTTTGTTTGTTTGTTTCTGTGTGATTTTCAGTGAACTGGAACTAGAAAGGGAAACTGCCAAGTTGGATCAAAGATGGTCCTTTATGGAATGACTCAGAGGGTCCTGTTGGACAGTTTCTCAAGCTCATTGTGGCATTTGCTTACTCATTGTTGGTAGCTCCCTACGTGCTGGGTGAAGGCTACTTATTGTAGTATATTGAGACAAACCTACTCAGTGTAGAAAGCACTTAAACTAGAGTTGCACGTTTGTCTCCATGTCTGAAGAGGGGGAAGTTACCCAGTCTTGGAATGTCTGTACTTACGTAGCTTACCTGCGCTTCGCTTACCTGCGCTTCACTTCAGGTGTGGTGTTGTGCAGCAAGGAAAGATGGGCTTATGTGTGTGTTTATGCCTCAGTCTCAAACAATGGTTGAGAAGGTTGAGCAGCAGGTCCCTGGTGGATTAGAAAAGGAACTGAGCGATTGTGCTGCTGTTGTTTGGTAACAAGTGTGTTCTTGGTCCTGAGCTACTTTGACAAAGTCACTGTTGATTGTTCCAGCCACTAAACGTCCCTGCTGGCTTTCCTATGACAAATGGCAAATCCCTTATAATCATCCCAGTGCTGCTGAGCTTTAACACCAAGTTGCAAAATTCAGCTTCATTTAGATCTGATTTACCTGGCATCAGGCTCTCAAACCTGGCAAGGGGCACAGGCTGTAACCTCCACATTCACTAACAAAACTTTTTCCATAGATTGGAAGAAGGCTGAGACACTGAGCACTGTAGCTGAACTGCCTACAGGACCTGCTGTGTCCACAGGCTCCACGCCGATTTCTTGTGCATTACGATGTGAATGCCCACCAGGTGGGGCTAGCCCAAGAAACAGTGAGAAAGACAGGGACTGACCCAGTTGATTCCAGCACTTTGGAAGGCAGTGGCAGGTAGAGGCCAGCTTGGGCTACAGAGTGAGTGCAGGACAGCCGGGGCAAGATAGAGGAACCTTGTCTCCAAAAATTCTAAATAAATAAAACAAACAAATAAAAAAAGCAGATAGAAAATGAAGCACACACACACAAATCATTAAGAGAAAACTTAGACGCCTCATTTCAGATAAAGTCACTGAAGGGCTGTTAGTTTCCCTGCATGTCAGTTGTCTGGAATAGAAAAACACATTGCTGTATCTTCGTGTTCCCCCAGAACTGCCTCTGGACGAACATCTGCCCAGAGAGATGCAATCTGTGGATAACTGACTACTGTTCTAAACTTCGTACCTGTCAGTGTAGTTCTAAAATTTATTTACTCATAGCCAAGGGCATTCAGAAGGCAGAGGCAGATGGATCTCTGTGAGTGTAGGCCAGCCTGGTCTACAGAGAAAGAAAGTTCCTGTTCTGCTAGGACGACACAGAAACCCGGTCTGCTGTCTGTCTGTCTGTCCATCTATCATCTATCGTGTGTGTATCCCAGGGATTGACCTCAGGTTGTTGGTCCAGCTTGTAACTTCCTTGAGATCTGAGCTCCTCTTCTGGTCTCTGTGGGCACCCTCACTTAACATGTACACCCTGAGAGAGACACAGACACATAAACACAAAGTAAATCTTTTTTAAAAAAGAGTAATTGGAAGCACACCACTCTGATTGTGGATTGCACTAGGAAAGCCGAACTGGACATAGTCTAGTCTATTACCAGGTTCTCCAGGCCACTGTAAT